AAATATCTGTGTAATTAGTATTAGACGGTTAGGATTACCTTTACGGATCGAACTTTTCTCATGCTCCAAAACGGACTTTATGTGGCGATTTTCTCATCACGGAATGTTTTATTATGAATATGCTGGATTACATTTTATCTGTGGACCCTTACGGACAAATGGAATACAAACAATCTAAGATTGGATTTTTAATACGGCCTCAGGAACGCATTAAAGGTAGGAAGCCAAAACTTTATTTAAAAAATTCTGATTTACATTGCAGCTACTTCTGTATTAAATGTGCTTTGCTGCTCATGGTTTCCATAAAATTAATTTGGCAGTTAGATTTTGGAGAATCTAAGCTTTCTAAAGATGTATAACAGGTCTATATTGGTAAAAGTTTAAAGCGTACTGCTGTGTTTGATGTAAATATAGAAAACGGTGCGCCGGCGAACTAGTGGGAGTATAGATGGTAATTTTTAAACCAACATATGATCCGTTCTGAAAAATGTTTCAGAATTTATTTTAAATAGTGTTTGCTTTTTTAAATTAGTGCTTTTTTGAAGAAAAAAAAAAAAAGAGTACCAGCAACTTGCTCGTGATCCCTGTATTCAACGATTCCAACATGTGGATTGAGTGTTGTGAAGGGGTAGGAGGCCACAGCAGGCCTGGCATTGGAAATAGCTCTTAACAGTGATGATTTGCCAGCATTTGGAAAGCCCACCTAAAAAATATATGAAGAAAAAGCCAAAGTTTGATAAGCAGGTCAACATAGCAGAGCTGAAACTCAATGTCTGAAATGTCTCCAATCGTCTTCCCACCAGTCCTGCATGAGCCATGGTTCGTAGCTCCAGCTGAATAATACGCTCCTGCCCCGCCATGCCCGCGGTTGCCATCATAGGTGCCCGATTCTCATTTGAGAGAAAGAAACGATTCCCCTTCCCACCAGCTCCTCCAAACACTGCTAAATACTCCTGGCCGTGCTGCGTCAGGTCAATTACAGTTGCACCCTGCTCCTTTACCACAGTTCCTACTGGTACCTTTAGGAGGGAACAAAACAGGAGAGGTTAAAAAAGGTCAGAAACTGATCAAAAAGCAGCTTCTAATAAATACCACTGACTCACAGAAATGTAGGTTGCGCTTCCATTCCGACCATAACAGTTCTTGCTGCTCCCAGACTGCCCATCCTCTGCTTTATACACTGGAATCACTTGAGCCAATGATTTCACAAACCGGTCAGCTGAAAGCACAAGAAGCAAATCCAGAGTTGATGAGTTTGTGAAAGCTTTGAAATTATATTTGTTATTTATATTNTTGTGAAAGCTTTGAAATTATATTTGTTATTTATATTTAAGTGATTCTGTCAAATCAAAGAATGTTGACATGATATAAAATACAGCAGGAAAAATCTTTATAGGGCACTCAATGAAATCCTTTGTAAATCCACATTTCAAGCCAATAGTGTTATTGGAATCCAGGACAAGACCTTATTACCTTTGAAACATTTTGATGGCAAAAATGAATGGCAATGTAATAACAAGAAACACCAACTTGCCCGAATGTATTAAGAATAATAACAAAAATAAGTGCTTCAATAAGAAATTCATGAAAAACACAAAGAAACATGTTTTTATTGGTACAATATAACCTTACAGGCACTAATGCTGATACTGGCACTTAGATTTTTTTTGTTTATAAACCTACATCTAATTGATAACTAGGCTTATTAACTTTTTAACTTTACTTTTTAAAATGTTTAATTAGATTTTTACCATTTTTTTTTACTTTTTAAATAGCTTTTTACCTATTTTGACTTTTTAATTAGCTTTTTGCCTTTTCCTGGACTTTTTACCTTTTTAATTAATTTTTTACCTTTTTTCCTGACTTTTTAATTAGCTTTTTACCTTTTTTCCTTGACTTTTTAATGAACTTTTTACTTTTTAATTAACTTTTTACCTTTTTTTTCTTGACTTATTAACTTTTACCTTTTTTCCAACTTAATTTACAGTAGGTAATATATCTTTCAAGGGACCATCTAATTGGTCAGATGCCAAAATAAGATGTACAGCCATGTAGCAGTATATTTGCTGAATGGCTGGATATAGATCTTGTGCTTCTAGATCTCACTGAGGTAAGGAGGGGACTCCGTTTGTCAAGTCAAGTCAAGTCAGCTTTTATTGTCACTTTCTTCATATGCACAAGACATACAAGGGAAATTAAATTACGTTTTCTCTCTAGAAATATACAAGACTGACATTTACAGACTAACATAAAGTGCGGGACATGACAGATAACAGTGATAGACTGGTAACAATAATTGTAGGGAGAATGCAAGTGATCTAAAATTGTAACTTGCCCTATAAAGGGTTATTAAAGTGGCACATGCTGCTTTCTTGAATGAGTCACTTCTATTGAAGAAACTGGTTAACAATGCAGTAAAAAGCCTTCTTTCATTTAAAGTTTTCACAGTATTTGGGAAACGCACCTAAACATTCAACCAGTAATGAACAGCCACAGGAAAATTCGATAGCAAATCTGAGCAAATCTACAGAAGCGTGTAAAGAAATTAGGGTATTATTGTAAAGTTTATGAATTTTAAATATTTACTTAATGTTTTTTTATCTAATTAATATTTTACTCATTTACACTTGTAGTTAATAAATAAGAATATGCTTTGCAATGAGGCCTGCTTATCAGATTTAAAGTAAGTTAATAAAATAACACCCCTTAAGCATTAAAACATATTTTATTTAGTCAATACTTCTTTTAAAATATTCCTTTATAGCTCTGAGAAAATTTTCTAATCTTAAATACAGTTTTTTGATCAGCTGTAAGAAAATCATCACAATTAACAGAAATCATCAAGGATTAAAAACATTCAACTATGTGTATTTATTATTCATAATCTGTTTTACTTGCTAAATTAAAGCTACTGACATAAATTGATTTTATTATTACAATATAATATTCTTATTAACCAAATGTGACTTTACATTAACCATAGGGCTAAAATCTAAGCATTTGTTTCTGTTCCCATTTCTGTTTACTTTTGCCAATGAACCCCCCAAAATGCCTAAAAAAATCTGAGCTTTGCGAGGTCTAAATAAGCTCCATTTATTTATTTATTTATTTTCCCCCTTAAAATGATTGAACGTGAAATTTAAATCAATTTCTAAAGGATTATACACATTAAGTACTATGCTCCTGCTCCTTTAAATGTGTTCATTGGTCATAGTTTGGCATCTGTCAGTGACTGACTGATATCCAGCAGTGAGTCAATGACGGTAAGCTACAAAAAGCCAGTGTTACAAAGCCACATGTTCAAATAAATAATAGAACAAAAAATAATAGAAGGAGGATTTGTAGGAAAAATGTGGAAATCAGATGAGAACAAAGAACAGGGTCGAACACCTTTTTAAAAGATTAAAAAACAAATCCCATGAAACAAAGTGGGACTTGTTCATAAGGTGTAAAAAATCAGCTGGATAGTGAACTTTAAGAGCCTCCAAACACCAACGCATCCAAAAATAGGCTATAATTGTCACATTTTAAGCCCATATAAAGCTGCACCTAAACCAGGGGAAATGTCAGAAGCTGCTCGTGTGAGTGCTTTCAGGGAAATAACATTCTACAAATGTTATGATCAATACATTCTATTATCTTATATCTAACTAGGTAGTTATATTAAAATATGAGCACTGCAACAGACAAGAGGTATGAATGACTTACCCTTTATGATAATGCTTCCTCCATCACCTCCGTTTCCTCCATCTGGGCCACCCCATTCCTTCCGAGGCTCACTGTGGAAGCTGCAGGCACCTTTACCCCCTGATCCAGCAACTAGCTTTACACGTCGGTGGTCCACAAAGTGCCGGGTCTGTGGGTGAAGGATGGAAAGACTCAAATAAAAACAAATAATCTATTCTGTATAGAAATAGATGAACAAGACATGCTTTTTTTTTTTTATTGCACTTTTGTTTCAATATTATTTCATATTTTTACCGCAAGTATTAAAAATTTGAAATCAAGTTTAGGATTCAAGATGTACACTGAATTTTAAGTAACACTTTGCACAATGGAATATATCTATATATATATCTATATATATATATATACACACATATACATATACTCTAATCCCAGAGGGAAATTACTTCTCTGCATTTAACCAATCCCCTTGGGGAGCAGTTGGCTGCCATTGTGCGGCGCCCGGGGAACTCACAATCTCAGGATTCAAAGCCCTAACAGACTCTTCCTGCTGAGGAGACTGAGGTCTTCTGGAGCGCAGGGGGCGCTCCTAGAGAGCTTCTATGACTCTGTTGTGGCATCAGCCATCTTCTATAGAGCTTTCTGTTGGAGCAGTGGCTTATCTATAGCTGAGAGAAAGGCTGGATAAGGTGATCAGGAAGGCCAGCTCTGTAATTGGATGCTCTCTGGACTCAGTGTAGGAAGTGAGAAACAAAAGGATTCTAACTAAATTAACATCTCTGTTGGATAATGATTTCCACCCCATAAATGAAGCTGTTGCTGAACTAGAGAGCTCCTTCAGCGACAGACTGCTGCACCTTAAATGCAACAGGGAGCGTTATCACAGATCCTTCCTCCCACCAGCTATAAGACTCTGTAACCTTCACTGTTCCAAACAACCTAAATAAGTTGTTCCATTCATGCTGACTTTGCACAATTTCTGTCTTAGTCAGTTAATTAACATGCTGCTGTCATTCTGCTCATCTCTGAGTTTGCAGCTATTTTCAAATATCCATTACTGTAAAAATATCCATAGCTGTATTTTGGTTATTTATTCTCCAGGTGCAAAGTGTTATATTAGTTAGTATATTGTTAAAACACTTTACAGTACAGTATTTTACTGTGTATCTTTTGAACTCTTCACTATTATGTTATTCTTATACACTTTACTAAGATCCACATTTGATTTCCCCATTGAGGGACAATAAAGGAATTGTCTGTTCAATTATTTTCTTTTCTTATTCTATTATTTTCTTTTCTAGTCTATTATTTTCTATTCTACCATATTCTATTCTTTTATATTCTAGTCTATTCTTTTCTATTCTATTCTTTTCTATTCTATTCTATCCTGTTCTTTTATATTATTTTCTATTTTGTTCTACCCCATTCTATTCTTTTTATTCTATTCTATTCTTTTCTATTCTATTCTACCCTATTCTATTATGTAAGAAATTGTTTCAAGTGAAGCTTTGTTAGCAAATATTACTGCATGGGTAAATGATGTAGAACACTGCTGCCAGCTGCAGCACAGATCAAACACATACCAGCTCCTTTTCAGACATATTCTTCTTCTTTGGATTTCCACGGCTTTTCCCGTGGAGTGCTGTGGAGGTGCAGACCCCTCTGAATCCGCCCGCTGTTCGCCTCTGCATCGCCGGAGGAAAACTTTCCCTGAGCAAACTGCAGGTTCTCTGACCCATCTCCTGTCCTGAACCGCATCTCCAAATAGTGTCAGCGAAGCTCCAACAGGCCTTTCTACCCCTCCATAACAGTGCCAACATCGTGCCTTTTACCATTCAGTGGATTGATAAATGTCACATTGAGCCTTTAAACAACTAATCTGTGATACGATCGAAAAACAAAACAGAAGCTGAAGTATTTTTTTTTAAATTACGTCACAGGAGACACCATCTAGTAGATTCAGGAGGTGGACAACGTCTTGGAAATGTTTTGATGTGTTAATTCACACATTTTGACACTTTACTGCAACTACGGAACCTGCGAAGGGACACAATTCCTTCTTCTTCTTGCTTAAATAGCTTCGGGTTTTACATTTTGATGTCAATCAGAGGCATTACTGCCTCCTTCTGGCTCTATCTGTAACTACAGGCGTGGTTCCTATGCAGAAATGATCCCAGTTATATAAGTATGTTCCTTAAACGGTCTTTTTATCCTAAAACTGTATTAATTCCCTTTACAAACCTCTGTATCTTTATTTTGTTCTTACTGATCGTATTAGAGTTTGTTAATGTAACAAATCTGCATTTTTTTTTTTTCTATTTTTCACTTCTGGACATTAAAAATGACTTCATTAATCCTTAGAACATTTCAAGCTAAATGCAAAAATGCAATATATTTTACTAGAATTTCACATGAAAAATGGTTTGAAATATGATTCAATTTATGCCATGACCATTTTGACCTTTCAGCTCCCAATGTTTAACTTCTCTGAGAATAAAAGGCTCCCATTTTCCTGCTCTGACTCTTCATAGGGAAAGTCTAAACATACAGTATCTATTATGCCTGAAAAGTAATCTAAGACTGATTTAATAGTTTGATGGTTCCTCATTTTGGATTCAGAGGCTTGATATTAGAGTTAGATTTTATCCCTACAGGAGGTTGGTGTGGACAAACAAACATGCCTTTGGCAACCCTAAAATAAATTTGACAGAGAAACCAAAGTACAGTACAGTAAACAATGTACAGTAAAGTAAAAAAAGAACAAATGATCATATAAACAATGCTCACAACCAAATCTTACACAGGGTGCTCAGGCTTAATTTGAGTTTGATAGAGTTGGAGCCTCCTCTGTGTCGCTTTATCTCTGAGACTCAATTTGACATCATGCCACATGTGCATAAGGAAAATTCTTCATTCAGGTTTTAAAAAGATCCTACTGATTTTCAAGCCCCTTATCTCTGAGATAGTTGAACCAAAACAATCTGGACACAATCCTCATTCTAGCTGCATAAGGATGTTATTTCAGGCTTCAAACAATAATGGGGAAAAACACTTTTCTTAAATGTTTAACAGATTAAAATGCAAAAAAAAAAAAAGACAAAAAGAAAAAAAATTACTATTGTGGAATAAGACTGTTTCTAAAGTTTGGTAAACTATTATATCCATTTTAGAGGCCATTATCTGTCATTCATTGAAATATTAATAGTTTCCTAATTAGAAGACTAAGTAATAAACATTACACATTCTGAAGATGAAGAAAAAATATATAATGTTTATGAACATTTTGAGAACTTTTTAAAATATGTAAAAATAAAATAGAGTCAAATTCTAGGATGTAGATCCCAAAAAATGAAAAGTGGTATTGTAATTTATTCAACGTGATTTTTCTTCACAAAATGTAACATGTCTTTAAAAGTGCATTTAATAAAAAACAAAATATACAGAAATAACCTTTTTTTTACTAGGAAAGGTTCGCATTATGTATGAATGTAAACTGAAATACTGCCTAATACGACACTGAACCAAGTGTATTTATTATTAATAACTATAAAACAAAACTACCGGTATGCAATTTGTGGTTGTTTTTAAAAAAATTAAAAAAATATACATAAAAAGGATTATCAATTCATTTTAATATAGCAAATAGTAATAAAAGACATAAGATTCAAACTTTAAACGAAAAAGTCTTACATCAGACAGGTATAGGATATCCACATTTAAATGACATACATCCAATTAGACTCATTCCTTCTGCAAAATGCATATTGTATCTACAACACCACGTAGCAAACATACACATACACCCACACAATCCCCTCAGGGAGGTTCTGTTTACAGGCACAGGTAAAAACACAAAGTACAGACGAATAAGAAAAATCTCTTAATTGTTTCATTCACAGTAAATCGAAACAAGGAAATAAACTTGTTACAGCATAGAGGAGAATCGGATTGTCAGTGTTGGGTGGTTCAAAAATAACTGACTGTTTGACAGTCAGCTTATAGATTAGTACTGCAAAAACAACTGCAACTGTTCCGTTTTCAGGTTTTTTGAGGTAAGATACATTTTAGCAGAACACTGAGGAGTTGGATCCCAGACAACCACCTTGTTTATAAAAAATACTGTACGGTTAATGTCTGTTCTTCATCTTTATGTTTCACAAAACATAAATTAATAACAATCATTATGCATTAAGCTGATGGATGGATGGATGGATGGATGGATGGATGGATGGATGGATGGATGGAAGAATTAATTATGCAAGATGTGCACCGCATGTTTGCAAAGGATCAAGACCTAAAGAAGTTGAAACAATACATTTAGCTTTTACTGTGCTTTCAGTAGAAATAAACTGAATTGTACATTTATTAGTAGAAGAATGCATAACATAAATAAGCGTGTTGCACCTACAAAAGCGAAGATTAAGAACACATCAGTGCTACATTTCTTGGGTTACTTTGGCTTTCAGGATCACTTCTAAATAAAAACTGTATTGTGTTTTACATTACAAAATATTAGACAATATGTTCACTGTTGCTACAAAATAGTAATAAAAGTGCAGACAAAGTCACAAAACATTTAAATCCAAAGTTAAGTACTGACTAGCATCCACTTAACTGCATATAACTAAAAACTGAATAGATAAGAATGTTAAGCTTTGACCTGCAGATAAGTTTTTCAACTAAAAAGAATTCCTGTTTAAGAACAGTAATAAAACAAGATACTATAGCAGCGTGTAAAAAACAAATTAACTAAATTAATTTAACTAAATAAAACAATTTAATTTGTAGATTTTTTTTCATTAGGAGCAGAGGTTATGTTGGCATTTTACTAATACATTAATAATTAAATAATATCTTTACAAATGACAAACAGTCTTTAGCATCTTAGAGATTAGCATGTTTATAGGATTACTTAAAAAGTAATCTCTGTTTACATACTACAGAATAAAGATCCATGCATTACCTATCATTTTTCAAAATGATTGATGACAAAATCAAATCCAACACTTTCCATAACAGACAGAGGTTGAACCACCAGCAGGGTAACATAGAGCACCTTTCCCATACTTAGCCCTACTTTTAACTCTCTTTAGTGTCACTCTCTTATTAAGACATTTTTCGTCATCTTTTACTAAATACAGTTAACTGTAAAATATCAAACATTTCTGTGCTTTCATCAACCCTTATTTGTGAGCATTTATATTGATACTGGAAATCATTAAGTATTTTCTTATGGTTACAGTCCAAAAAAAAAACAGATTTTAAAACTTCTGGCGGGCCCTTTCATAATTTAAAGCTGTTTAAGCTGAAGTTGATACAAATTTAATTGACAATTTCCAGTTTCTTGGTCCATCTCTACAATATGCTTAGGTAAGCTGAGCAATGCCACTAAAATTTGATGCTGAATATAAAACCACCAAACTTATAACCAACAATGAGACAGTTAAAAAATCATAACCAGCAATTTCCCTATTGGGTCTATGACATATTTAGAAAGTGAATACAACTAATTTCCCTAACTAACAGGAAAATCTGCAGGGCTTTGAAATAAAAAATAAATATAAAAACAAGGAATGGCATCTTTTTCATACTTATTTACCTGTCAGATGTATAAACCAAAATAACTGTTCCAATTCCGTGAGATTCCATGAGTCACAAGTACCGTTTTCTTTATTCTGCTACGCTTTAAAAATATTATGGCGTGAAGGAAAACGTGGTGTTTGATAAATCAGCTTATCTTGATCAGCATAAGATAATAGGTCGGGTCCAGAGAGATCTTCCTTTCCATATGTTGAGGAGATTATTGTTGAAGCATGTATAGATGAATGTTTCCTAGACTTGAAAACAGTGTGTTGCCTCATTGCTGCAAATTTCCATACTGACCCTGAAATAAGGGAGAAAAGATATAATAAATATCGAAAGTTTTTGGAGGAGGGTATTAGTGTTGTCTTTTTACAATAAAATGCCAAAAATAAAATATCTTAATTATAACTAAAACTCATGTCAATTGCATCTAACCATAAAGAAAAGCATTTTATTAAGCATTATGTCATTTTCAGTTTGTAAAATATACTTTGTGCAAACTTAGTCTGGGAAACTCCTCCATATTTTGCATTCAAAATGTATAGTGTGCTATTGTGTCAGACAAAAACAATAACAAATTGACTCACTCATGGGTATAAACCATAACAAATATATGAGTACCTCCAATACTGAAAAATGTATTAACATATTCAATTAGAGGTCAAATGAAAAAAAAAAAATATATATATATATATATAAAGCTTGTATTGATTTTCTGTACTTTCTGTTGCTACTGTAAGCTTTCAGCCTGTCAGGTTGAGTGAATTATCTTCAAAGATGGTTAGACTCTGCATTAAGTCACATGAGAATCTTTAAAACTATTACTGATGCGACATTTGACATGACAATCCACTGGGCTTTTTTTTTTCTTTCTTTACATGTCCAAACATTTGTGGCAGTCCAGATTTACTGTAGATAAAACTACATGTAAATGTCTCAAGATAGGAATATTTCTATACAATAAAGTGCCATTAAGATACACAATAGTGTTACAAGAAAAAGAAGGAACTTAATATTTAACGACAACAACAAAAAAAAGGTGTGTTTTTGTGAGCATTATTGAGCCAGTTTATCCCACATTATTGATGTAGGTCAAGCTGGCCTGGCTTCCAGTCTCCAATATAAGCTGCATCCTGACCACTACTCTATATGGGCATTGCTTTTTTACATTTTGGCAGGGTTTATACTTAAACATAAGCTCAATTCAATTCCAAATACTTATTGGCCCCTGAGGTAAATAAAACGCTGTGGTAACTAATAAGGTTTTTTTTGTTGCATATGTGACTCTTGTCCAACTTTTTCATAGCAGAATGGCCAAATTCCAATCTTTTCACCTCCAGAATAAGACTTGCGCCAGTTCTATATGTGGTACTAAATCTGATACCTATCCAATAGTTTTCAAAGCATCTGCAGTCTAAACACTCATGTTGCATTTGATCCGACTCTCACAGTATTATCCAGGACTTGACTACTCACTTATAGAAATACTCTCCAGTACAGCAGTCACTGCTCCACAAAAACACACTGTAAATAATTCTGCTCTGTTTTACCTGTCCTCATCTTGTTGTGATGTGATTATAATACTGTCGACAACTTAAAATAACATCCATTGGAGGCATACTAAACACTATAGCATTCAATGCATTTCTTATAATTGGGAATGCAGTAAGCTTCAGATACGGCCTCTCAGTGATGAGAATCCATGCAATAAGATGCTCTACACAATGCTTTCGAGCTAATTTTAAGGCTTTATCAAGTTTGTTTCTCCACAGCCATTTACTTTTCTTAATGTTGGCAACTTCAGAGCAGTAATAATCTCAACACGTGCTGGCCCAACTCTATGATTTGGTCTTTTCCATTCCCTTTGTTGTAATATTTCTTACAAATGACAGTGGAATATTTAGTCAGAAAATGCATGATGACATAAAATGCTGTTTATACAGGCACCTTCCTATAGAGAAACCACACAGAAATTCTCTTAGAGAGCAACCCATCTGCTAAAAAAGATTTTTATAATAGCAGTCTGCATTCCTAAGTGATGGACTGTCAACACAGAGGAAGTGGAAGTGATTTAAAAAAAACACCTCAGTTCAAGAAGTTAGATTGGTGGGGAATAGTTTTAGCAAAGCAATATATATATATATATATATTTTTTTTTTTTAAAGGTTTTTTTACTTGTTACCTGTTCATAGGTGAAAGACCTTTGGGTTTGTCCTGCAGGTCCTCCTTGGGAAGAATGATAAGATCCATACTGTTGGTTCTGACTCTGCTGATACTGGGAAAACTGGGATGGTCCTCCCTGGCTAGGACCTGTAATGGAGATTAGGCTTATTAAACATTTTCATTTTGGGGACCTGTGTTTATGTTTTAGAATAGAATGTAGAATCCCTTCATTGTCCCACAATTGGGAAAATTGTGGTGTTTACAGCAGCAAAGGTTATAGTAGAAGAGGTCACACAATGTGCACCTTAGAAAAGTGTATAAAATAACAGAAAGGAAAATAAACAAAACAAATAGAGTATTGTACTCTACAATGTTTTTACTATATAAACACTCTGTTTTAGGAGAATAAAAATAAAATTAATAACAGCAGACATGTTTAAAGTAATGGATATTTAAAAAAATTGCAGCAATACTAAAGATAAAAAAAAAAAGAAATGACAGAAGTATTTTATTTAACTAACTAAAAGAAAAACTGCAAAAATCAGCATCAATGTAAAAACTTATCGAGGTCACTGGGAACAACATTGGTTATAAATCTGTGATAACGCTCCCTGGTGCATTTAGGGTGCAGCAATCTGTCACTAAAGGAGCTCTCCAGTTCAGCAACAGCTTCATGCATGGGGTGGGAAACGTTGTCCAACAGAAACGAGTCCAGAGGGCATCCAATCACAGAGCTGGCCTTCCTCAGCTACAGACAAAATACTTAGATACAGCTTTTGACATAGTATAAAAATGCTCACCATATCCTTGTGGCTGCCCGCTGTAGCCCTGCTGAGAGGAGTACTGCTCTTGACTGAAAGCCGGCTGCTGACCAGTGCTCTGTTGATATGAGCCCTGCTGTTGGCTGTACTGAGAGTTACCTGTAAGGGCAGCTGCAATGAACTATTTTTAGTCTTTAAAACCGATTGCATCATAACTTTGCATCAATTAACATAATATCTGTTCAAATGCATCTTATATACATCATTATGTATTATGTATTACTCTTCAAAGGGAGTTTCAAATAATCATAATAATTATTAAAATCTTTTGAAAAATTAAAAAAGTTTGATTTAAGGTTACCTCCTTCATAGTAGTGCTGTGAAGACTCACCAAACGACCTCTCGTAACCTTGTTCACCGTATGAAGAGTGATGATATGAATAATCTGTGTGTGGAAAACATGATTCAGCACATGTCAAATCTACTCAGTCTAACACAAGCTGCAGGTACACAGAAAATAATAATTTTACTATTCTAAATCAAACCACATAACAAATATAAAAAAACAAATGAGAAGCAAAAAGGAATCTCTCAATGGGCAAAGGTACCAGAGTTTAAAAAATTGGAAAATTTGTCACATATAATTTCTTCCTAAGACTAACGATAAGCCAAACAAAATGCAGAAAATCTGTTTTTGCAACATCATCTGACTTCACTCTGAAATACAGTGAAACAACAAAATAAGTACTAAAATAATATCTGACATATTTAATTATTGAAAAATGTTATCTAGTCATTTCTATATTATATTTTATAAAAATAAATTTGATAAATAATGAAAACATTTTATAAACTATAAATCAAGTTACAGTACTTATCAATATATGTATTTCATCAAATTAGATTAAACTATGAATTTGGACATTGATGAAAAATAATTCAGCAAGAAATATTTCAATCATGGCAAATTTGACCATTGATATTTTTGAAGGGATCTCATTTCTAATATGAACAGCAAAATATAGTGCAGAGTTGACACTTCTTTAACTGTGTCATATAACATGGGAATGGTTAAATATTGAAATTTGTGACACACCACAGCTGGAATATCAGTATGGACACAGACATGCTACTTTACAAAATTGTCTAAGGTTTGTTGAATTTTACTGGAAGCGCGTGGCATGTAGTTGGGTGTTTTATGTGCTTTAGACATTAGGTTATTAAATTTTTACCATCAGTGTAATACTGCTGGTTTGTGAGCTCGGTGGAGTTCTGAGTGTGTCCATACTGCTCTCCGTAGAACTCTTCCTGTCCCATGTAGTGTTGTGCAGATCCTGTAAAATAGGCGAAACAGGCCTTATTAAAACCTTCAGGCTAATAGGCCACTGAGATAACCTCTAAGATTGCTAATAAAGGTAAATTGTTCCTTTTCTACTTATATTTGCATTTTATTAAGTTAAACTTTCCATTATTAGCTAGGAAAATGAAACTCAATGCAAAGGTTTTTCCATTTGTTTGACATTAACCTCGGTCTACACTTTTTCTGAGGTGATTCCCTTTTTATTTGGTGGTGTGCAGAAACAAAAGATCCCATTTATGTTTTACCCATCAAGGAAACAGCAAACTAACAAAAAAAAGAAACCAATGCAGATCAAATTATCCTAATTAAAGCACATGTCTGATCAATTCAACCACAAAAACATATTTCCATTGAGCTACAAGCAAGATTTTCAGAAGATTCTCAAACCTTGCAAGAGCCCACTATTCAATCAGTGAAAGAATAAGAGCTGCAAAGATTAACTAATAAACAACACACATGCATGCTTAATCATGCATGGATAAAAGGATGCTGGAGTATATGAGAGTCTGTGCAAATAACCTGTCTGCCTTAAATGTTTGTTTCATGAATGTCTACTACTAGTAAACACTTGACAAGAGATCACAGGAGCAGTGGTTGAATTGATGACATGCTGATGCAGTTGAAAAAAATGTGTTACTAGAGAATATCTCTAATGGTGTCACTCATACAAGTAAATAAGTCTGTGAGCTCCTCTCTCAGTCTGCTCAGTTTGTTCAGGTTCAGGTTAACTTCTCATTATTGTAATGATGGAGCGCTGTATGTTTAATTTAAGGGACAAAGTTGTTGTGATCAAGCAAACTGTTACTTTGAAAACAAAATAAAGCATTGGAAAATATAGCAAACTGGGTTTATTTAAGTTTTCTTGCCCTTTTTTAAGCCTTTATAGGGCATTCAGTAAAATACTTTGAAAATCAAAATTTCAAGCCAATAGTGTTATTGAAATTCAGGACAAGACCTTAAAACATTTGTCACATTCAAAAAATATGAATATCTTGATTAAAAATTAATGTCGATCTAATAACAAGAAACGAACACTTGCCTAAATATATTTAGAAAACTAACAAAGTTTTTCAATAAGAAATTCAGCAAGTGTAACTTGCCCTATAAAGATCAAATATGATGATGAAACTGCTTTTCATCCAATCCTATCTACATAAAAGAGTTATATGTTTGTTTTAGAATATGAGCTTATTGGCCACACATTTCAAAAGGATGCTTTGAGCCAAACAAAGCTGCAATATGCTGTAGGTTTTCCCTTATCTGATAAGCAGATACAGCGAGGAAAGATTTTTGAAGATGTAGAAAACACACCATTTGCTGTTTTTAAACCTCTGAAGTGATCATTTAGAGCACTGAGGGGTTACTTTATGTTTTCAACCTTCAACTGGCACATTTTGCATTATTTTCTTAGAAATTGGTGAGTTTATATATATATATACATATACACATATACATATACACATATACACATATACATATACATATATACATATATACATATACACATATACATATACATATATTTATCTCTTTAACATAAGCCCACTTACCTTGCTGGGAGGGCCGGTAGGGCCCCATGGGTCTCTGAGGTATTGTGTTATTTCCCTGGTTGGTCTGTCCCATCATACTCATCGATTGATGTCCCTGATAGTGCCGCCTCCCTGAATTGGCTGAGGAGTGTTGTGGAGGAGCAGATTGTTGGTGCATCATGGAGACTGGGAATGTAGTGAGGGAATAATCTCAAACATTAAAGTCTGTCCAGAAATTAATATTCATAACATAGTATTCATTTTTTTTCTAGTGATCTAAAAGCAGAAATAAACATTTTTGTCTTCCATTGCATGCCAAACACAGGGAAGGACAGAGAGGGTCCAAAGCAGTTGTCATAAAAGTAGAATCTCTTTGGAGACATGTTTTTGTGTGCAGAGGTATACATGAAAACAGAGATGTGGAAGCTAGGTTATAAGCAGAAATTGAGTAAAAATAGAAACACATTTGGAGAAAGGAGGGCTGGATCTTAGTCTAAGTAACAAAGGAACAGGACTGCATAGACATAAAGCAAAAATAAATTAGGAAAGCAGAATACATCTGTGATGAACTCAGTGTGGAGGGAGCATAAGCTATGCAGAAGTGTCTTAAACAAGAACACATATTTATTTATTTATATGTGTTGGTACTTATGAAAGTCAAAAATATTACCCTTAAACCAACAGAGGCAGTAAAGTTAATGCTAAAATCATGTGCTATACTCTAACCCTAATCCTACCCTGTTAAATTACAGACCAATGAGTGCATTGTGTTATTCCTGGCTCACCTTGGCTAGAGTGTGTGTTGAGGTTGCTGCGGGGGAAGGAGGAAGATGAAGGCGTGGAAGAGGAAGAGGATCCATAACCAGACCAGGGGTCCTGGATCAAGCTACCCTGAGAGGAGGGTGTGGCAGGGCTGTAGTTGGACACTGAGCTAGTGTTGCTGCTGGCGGAAGTAATAGCTGACTGCATGTGACCTGACTGCATGAGGGCATGGCTGGGGCCTAACGACACACACACATTGGGAAGAGGCAGGTGTATGTTTTCATAAGACGCCATGCTGTAACATCAGAGTTCCACATTCAGTTCATCACAAAAGAAAGTTCAGGCAGGTATAGAATATTAAGTGTAGTTCAGTGTAAAAAAATATGGAAAAATGAAAAACAAAAGCAGACATTGATATTGTTGCAAAAAAAAAAAAAAATGATAATCAGAATAGGCCTAAAGCTGCAAGGATTCAGATTCCAAAAGAAGTCTGCAAGGATTCAGATTAGAGATAAGCCCACATAGAGACAGGAAGTGGCAACCTGCAGCACCGTCAAGCTGAGATGAATACAAAAAGAGATGAACTGATCCACTTTTTTCCAATCCAATCAGATACCGATACCTGAGCTGAGCGTATCGGCCGATATCTGACAGATCCAGTTCAGCTGTTGAATGAATGGACCATATATTTTGCCATGAGAATAAAGGCCTTAGTGACATAAAAATTGGTTTTATAAAAAGGTATCAAATTAAAACAGATATAAATATACTTTATATCATTTAACAAATAAAAAGCAAAAAGAAAGAAATGACGGTTCCATCTCAAGTATATCAGATCGATATCAAATACCGATATCTGATTCAGCTAATTAGTCAATATCGGAGCAGATCTCTGATCCAGGTAAAGGATCTAGGCATCTCTAATACAAAACAGGCAAAGGGCTGATTAAAAACTGGTGTGGTAGTTTGCCACATCTGAGTATTTTAGTGGAACTGCTGCAAGGAACAACATTTTACTGTAATATCCACACTTGTCACCAACCGTTACTCAGTTGGCCCTGTATCATGTACGGGGGCAGTGGTCCCATGTTGTCATTGAGGTTGCTTGAAGCATGTCCCCCACTCTGGCTCATTCTTCCAGGATCCATGGACATATTGGAACTAGGAGGCTACAAATAAGAAATGTTGCATAATTAATTTCACTGCTTTTTTTCCCTTCGTCATGAAGTTGTTGACTTATGGATTGGTGCATTATTGGTGCACTATAGGATTGATCAACTCTGCTGCATGCCCCTGGAAACTACATGACAGACAAACTTACAGCCGGTAGTAGTGACTGCATGTTCTGATTAGAATCAGCTATTGTGGCCAAGTAAACAAGATTCCTGTGCAGGATCTGCTGATACCTGGAAAAGTTGAAATTCTGCTGAAATTTGCATGATCTTCCGGAAGGTTTTTCACTTATTTAAAAACAACAACAAAGATCACTTACTGTGTGCACTCAACTGTCTTCCCTTTGCTTTGGCAATCCATTATACATTGTATTAAATGATGATTTTCATCCAACATCTGCAGGAGACATAAACAACCTCAAACCATATTTAGCAATTAAAGCGCTTGAAAAGTTGAACACTAATGGCTTTGCCTCTTTCTTTGCACATTAACCTCTCTGTTTTTCAACCAGTGGATGCCACTGGGGCTTAGTGGTTATCTGTGTTTATTTCTATCCAAGATAAAGATTCTATAGTAAATCCCACCCTGTCACTTCCTTTCTCGGGAGCAAAATAATTAGATAAAAAGACTAAAGCTTGTGCTTATTTATTTATTTAAACTATTTCCTTCCTCCTAGTTTCCTTATGAGCCTGTTTAGATGAAACACCGGCTGCAATCTGACAAAATAACGGAGTAGTGCTGCTACTTTTAACAATATTTTTCCATTAAATTAACTTTCAACAAATACTGTCTGATATAGCACTCTGTTTGGACCCCTGCATTTGAGCAAAGTCAGGAAATCTTCTAGGTGATTGTATAGTTGTAGCACACTGATACCTGCAAGTCATAATCATGCAATCCACTGATTTCCCCTAGAACTATATAAATCTGTGGGAAACAAACCTGTTTAATGTCTGGTTAAAACTGAATTGCCTTAATATATTAACCTTTATATTTTTTTTTATAAGAATAAGAAGATCCTATGACAGCAAATTAATCAGACCCACTGTTCCCTAAGGGTACAGGTTAAATGCAGAGGTAAATTTATCCAATATGAGATCAATAAAGTTCAATTAAATTAAAGAGCCTTTAAGATGATGTGTTGAAATTGTATTATATGTAAATAGGGTCTCCTTGGATTCTCATAGATTTTTTTATCTTAATTTTCTTTGGGGGGGGGGGGGGGGTCGTTTTTTCATTTAAGCTGAACAAATTTGGGGATATTTATCAACACTTAGCACTAAGCTGCGTTGTTTCTGTTAAGGATAAACAGCTTTGTTTATGCTGCTCTCCAGATACTCTCTTATTGTACCAGGTTTTTGTCCAACTTAAACTCTAAGAGCAAAGTCTAGTAGCAGCAGATGAGTTCCATCCTATCAAACTCTGGGAATTTGACCACATTATTTGCTGTATAGCTGAAGCTAAATTCAGAATCCCAGCGCTGAAAGAACAGCAGGTGTTCATGATGAGCAGAGCAGAGCTCCCGCTGAGCGCTTTGTTTGGATCGCATCTTCAGAGGACACCAACATACAGCCGCGCTACCAGCTGCGATTATTTTGATATTCACCTCAGGCTCTACTTCCTCTGAGGTTACCTCTCACACCCTTACGCACAGTGATAAAATAATATTGTTTTGTCTCTTTATTTTACCTTCTGGATGGCTTGTTGCGTCACCTCGCTTTTACTCCTGGGACGCGCTGAAGAAAACGCCACTGACATTTTGTCATAAGGGAAATAAAGGCGCTCCTTTTTTATATTATTTGTTATCTAGAGCGCAGCCTTCTATTTGGTTACTTGGTTTCTTCACAACTAGAATAAAAAAGGGGGAGGGGTTGGCAAAACTATGATTGAATTTAGCATTTGAGGCACATTTTAAAGCTCATCATTTGTCTGAAATGAAAACACTTTGCTGAAACCCTTGTTTATCCTTCGAGTTTAGATAAGAACAAGGTGTAGAACATAAGGTCCGGGGAAGATCGCTCCCCCTCCTTCGTTGGTACAACCCATATTCTGGTCCTGATGCTGGAGTGGATGGAGCATCCTTTGATTCATATGCTGAGCGACATGCGCTCTCTACCTTCACACCAAAGACCTTAACTGAAAGTTGCTTTTAGCTGTTTTTTTAAGAGATATGTTATGTATATTTTGATTGTACTTAAACATGAAGGGTTTTTTTTTTTAACACGGCTACAGAGGAAAATTTTTATAAGGGTGGCCAGGCATTAACCAATATACACTGAGGGGGGTCCGAAAGTGGATAGGTGCCAGAACCTCAGGGTCAATCTGCACTGTTCCAACAGGAAAATTATTGAGCACAACTTCCATATTCGCTAAATAAAGACTAACTATACTTCCTACAGCCTTTCTTAACAAATAGACGCATATATTTCAACATCCGTGCTTTCTAGATTAAAGTTATAGTGAAAACAATTCTTTCAGGTTAGAGTTCTGGGTCGAACATCTTTTCCATCGTCATTACTTACCCACCTTTATCAATAATCACTATGCATAAAATTGATATTGGCAAGTACTTATATCTACATAAATTGATTATTAAATATGTTTTTACTAAAATAGTTATCTATGATTTCACTGAAGAGTCCTAGATGACTCGCAGAACCACATCTTTTTCTCTCTACCCCATAACATAAAATCTAGTTCTGAAAAGAGCATGAATTCTGTACTTATCGTCTTTAATATTCTTACATTGATGTGCATAATTAACAGTGTTTGTTCTCAAGTAATTATTAATGTATAAAAAAATTTTATGTCTTGAATATTCCACATGAGTGTATTACTGCTGCCAGCAAGTCTCTTGTTTTGTTTGCTTTCAAATCACATTTTTTATTGATATGAAATACCTTTTGACAAAGGGGTGTTAAAAACTGTTAAGATGCATTGCAACATATTTAAATCTCAGAAAGGTACATTTAACTCATTACAGTCTTGCATTTCTGCATCAGCTTCTTCCCTACTGCTGTCAGGCTGCTGAAAAAAAACTCAAAATTAAGTCACAGACTCTGCATCACACAGATCATACTACCAAACGAAAACACTGCATATTTGCCCTGTATATATTTGCATTGAAATGCTCTGAACTTCCATATCAATGTGTTTCTGCACAATGTTATTTGATCACGGCAATTTATGAAATGAAAATTTTAATGTTTTGCTGCTAAGCTGCTGCTCATCCACTGTCTGAAAGCTGTACAAAACCACATTTCGTTTTGTATACAAAATTACAATAAAAATGGTCTAAGTCTAAAAATAAACAATCTACTGTACATGAATACAATATGAATATATAATAGCATACAGATAATTTAGCATTCAGTTCCTCAAGTTTTCACTTAACCTCATATTTCCTCCCAACTTAGCCATTTAAGTAGGGAGAAAACTGAGAAAGGCATCCGACCTGATTAAGACTGTTAGTGTTTATGACATGGTAGACCTTTTCTAGTATTTTTTTGTAGACCAAAACAGTGATCTATGTAATAATTTGAAAGATATCCACACAAGTTTCCATAAAAACACTACCAGAGGACACTATAGCGCTTCTCAGTGATGGACAGAAAATGAGCGCTTGAAACATTTGAGTATGTTTAATTTTGTTCCCTCATTGAAAGACTTGTTTTTCAGTAAAATGTTAAGTGAGCCAGACACTGTTAACTTGCTAATGTCGCTCCCAGTGCTTCCACATCCAAGCAGAGATGTTGAGGTAGGAAAAATAAAATAAAAAGATTGATGTGGAGCTTTGATCATAGATTGGTGCTGTTCCAAAGCTGTTAGGTTTCTGCTTTGTGGCAATAACGTTGCTTTGCTTCCTGTAATAGATGTTAGTTGATGAGGCATGGGGGCCTACTGAATAGGGCATTGAGCTTGGAATCCAGAGGTTCTGAATTCAAGCCCCTCTCCCACAGACTGCCACTCTGGTCTCTGAGCAAGGCCCTTAACCCCACACTACTTCCCAGGTGCAACAATAGCAGCCCACTGCTCCCCAAGGGAATAGGTTAAATGCAGAAGTAAATTTCCCCAATGTTAGATCAATAAAGTTCAAGGTTTTAATAGGTTCAGAGTCAGAACCTGTAGATTTAAACTGGATGCCTTCATATTCCTCACTTCCCTCTCCTGAGCTTGAACTGGCCGACAGTCCAGCCACACAAAGCAATTTCAAACATGGTCTGGAACCACCATTAATGTTTCCATCCATCTCCATTACAAAACATTGTGCTGGCACCAAAAGTGCTCTCCGACATCACAGGGAGATGGGTTTTGCAAGCTTTTAATTAGAGCGCTGACATGGAGTTACTAAATGTTGGCCATTTGTGTTAAAAATAAGCTTTTTAATTCACAATAACTGAGAACCACTTGGTATAACCTGCAGAATGATTTTAATGCAAAATTACATTAAATTGTTACAACAACAAGCCGCAGACCTTGCGTTCAGCAATCTCCTTGATCTTTCACCTGGAGACCACCACAAGCATTAATTTCCTCCAGTGCCCTCAATACCAACCAACACAAAATGCTGAGACAGTAGACCATCACCTTTGCTATTAGATTCTAGACTTCCTTGCAAGCTAAACTTAAGGATGTGCAATACAGCAAAACGCTTCCAAATATGTTCTGATGATGCCACAATAGCCTGCTATAGGCTATAAGAGGTGGAGCAGGCCATTCCCACTTCAAAACATCCACACAATCTTGCATACAACAGCAACCATGACAATGAGATGTAATAAAGTAGGCTCAGTAGCAACAATTAAATCAAAGCATCAATGTTGGAAATAAGGCACCTCAAGATTTTAAATACATATTTAAGTTTATTTTAACTGTAGATTTACAGGATTTTGAAATTAAAGAGCAAAATATTTCAAAACCAGTTAAACCACTGGACAAAACCAATTAAATTGAAATGAAGAGCCTTAAACTGTCTTCATCTATATTTTCTACAAAAAAGAAAAAAAACACACAAACTCATATTCCAGGTCTTCACAGTCTTCTTTGGTGGATCCTTTCTGAAGGGAGAATTTGAGCAGCTCCTCGTCCTCTGCTCCTTGTAAATCTACCTCTAAAGCCTTGGCCTCTCAAGAATCGACCAGTGACCCCAAAAGTCTCCAAATTGCGCTTTCGTTCTTCTGCCCATGATAATCTGAAATTTGGGGAACAAGAGGTAAACTCCAAAATCTTTACTGAAGACTGAAAAAGGTCTCATTTTCTAAGAACAGTTTACCTAAGCCCAGTATCCGAAGACACATTGTCAAAAAAAGACTTTGCTTTGTCATAGTAGCACTTTGGTCCGAAGTCCTCATACTCTGCTGAGCACATCCTCTCTTTTGCATTCTCAATATCTGAATCAAAGAACAAGAAAATTACGGAAGCAGATAGAAGCGATCAAGTGGACCAACATTGATTAATACGGTCTGCTTGTGTCATCATTTGTTTAATCTTTGAAAATTACTTATGGGTTCTAGTGTATTCAGCAAAAAGAATCTAATTTTACCAGAAGTCCAAAAACATACATGCACCTCTTGACAAATGTGGCTTGATAATTCCTGAATGACTATCTACATATATCTATATAAATGATTTTCTTTGGAGCAGCAAAGTCATTCTAAACTTAAAGAAAAAAAAAAAAAAAAAACACAAAAAATGTCCTAACAGAAACTTTGCATTTATTTTTAGGCCCTAATCCAGACTTGAGATCAACTGATGCATTAAAAAGTCAAACAGATCCTTCATAGTTGGTGCCAATACTTTTGAACAAGTCTCAATTTATTCCAAAACAAGATTTTAAATTGAGTGACAGTAAATGCAATCCACAAGCTCTTAAGGCGTGGCTGCCTAATGCATCTATGTATAAGCCCAAGCATTTATTTAAAAAATAAAATAAAATAAAATACACGCAAAACAAAAAAATACATTGGTTGGCCAATGTATCAGTTTATCTCTGGTCCAGACCCTTACCAGTAACAATACATACCCAACTCCACACTCTAGCCCTATTCCTGCACCCAACCCATTGGGGATCAGTGGACCCATTGGGGATCAGTGGACTACTTCCCACAAATGCCTTTTACTCCCCCACATAGTAGCATATTTATGGGAAATTGACCTTACACCATTCCAACAAGTTAAGAAATATAAACAGCCACAGAAACCCACCCTTTAGATTTCTTCTTTCTTGCACCTCCCTCTCAACTTCTTTAATGAACTGTGCATTGGCGGAATCAAAGTCAAAGTCTGTATCAAACTTCAGTATAGGAGATGGAACATTAGCCACCATCAGCTGCGCTCTACCACTGCTCCGACGTCTTTGAGGAGCTAAGAACATTTCAATGAAATGCATGATATTAATCCTGTACAGAACATTAAAGTTTTCACCTTTCAGATCTTAAATTTACCTTGTTTTCTTCTGGGTGGTGGACGGTCAACGTTTTGCCGCTGTGAACCCTGACGATTAGAGCTCACACCAGAACCAGAACTGCCTTGGGGGGGGAAATAAAAATCTTGCACAATTGAACAGATAATTTAGAAATTCAGGCCATTTGTTTTAATGTAGCTGAAGTATCACCAGATACTTACTGGTAGGCCCAGGCTCTCTTTGAGGCTGGGAATTTTCTCTCCTGGTCCTCGGGGGCCTTCTATTCCACTGCCTGTCCTGTGAGGCAATCAAACCCCTTCTCTGCCCTTCCACTTTGATTGTTTGAACAGCCTTCTCTACCATGGGACCCCGTCTAAAATGCAGATCTGGAAGTACAGGCCCTATTTGACAAACAAAAAAAACAATCAAACACCTGGGTTGTGTTTAAGGTTAATTTACATCACATGAAATTGCAGGAATACTTGCCCACGCCAAGAGCAGCAGCATACTGTTGGCTAAGAAAGGAGCTTGCAGAAAGTGGATTACAGATGGGCATCCTTACTGGGCTAAAAGGGCCAAAATTTGTGTAGATGCCAGAGCTTGAACTGGATGACTGAAAAATAAGTAAAATAAAAAATTTTTTTCACAATCTTGACATGGAATTGAATGATGCAAGTTTTTCCTACTGTACTTGAATGATTGCTGGGTCTGGTGGTAGGCCATGGTGACACATTGGGGATTCGCACAAAGTAATATCCTTGATGTCACTTCCTCGGAAAGTGATGTACTCATAGACATCATCTTTGGGTGGTGTTGGTCTGTCAGTAGGACGTCCCTCAGTTCCAAAACACTTTACTGTTCACAAAAGTTTTTTTTTTTCTCTCAATCTCTCAAAGCCTCAGAGTATTACTGACACATCTTGTCACGTAATATATTATACTCACCTTTTGCCAGCACAATAGTGGAGTTATTTTTATCTATTGTGTATAAAATCCCTTCATAACGATTTTGAGCCTTTGAAAGCAACCCTATTTTACAGCCAATATATGGCTTTGTAGAAGCCATGGCTGAATAACATTTAAGACAGATGCTCCAAGTTGTTTTACTGACTCACAACACACTACTCAGATTTTTCTTAGACACCTTATAAGCATTTGGAGGTGTATTGGGAACACACCAGCTGATTGAATTTAATTCACCTGTTTGTACCACGGCAATCACAGCACCACCTCAGTGGGTGCATTCCTTTACAGGCAGCCGGAGAATGACCTGGTTGGAAGTCAATGCAATGAGGAGTGGGAGGAGTACCTTTCACAGTGAGGACAGCCGTTTTCATTCAACAATATTTCGTAGATTCAATTTGTTTGGGTACTTATCCCTTGAATAGTGTTCAAAACTCCCCTTTTTATGTAAGACATAAAAGCTGTGATGTCAATGCAATTAATGGAATATTTGAAGCAATAAAATCAGATAATAATAAACAAACATGTATGTATATCATAGTTTTAGGTTACGTCATATGTAGCTGACAATGTACTGTAAATAAGATTATGGTGTCTAGTTGCAATTTAAAAACATTATTTTTAAAAAGCTAAGAAAAATGTATAAATTAACTTAGTTTTTCTAGCCAGTCTCCAAAGTGGATAAATACTTTTGGTGGTTAGATGGAAAGGACAGGACATTAGATAACATTGCCTGTGGTCACCCTGTTTACTTTTTGTTCCTGTATTTTTCAGAGCATCACAAAGTCGCTTTAGTATATTGAAATAATACTGTCTACTTAGATTGAGCTACCTGCTGTTTGAGCTATAGAAGGTAGTTAGTGGAGAAATACTAGATAGTTTGTGCAAACACTATGTCACATAGGTCCTTCATAGGTCGGAACTGATAAAAGCCTCAGCTAGGTAGGGGCAACACACACAATTAGACAATGTTGGTCACTCTTTAATTTAACTATGAGTAATCATTTCCCTGTTCAGTGATGCCCCCACTGGGAAGCCCACTCTGGTAATTGGCAGCTCCATATTCAGAAACGTGGCAATAACGACACCAGGGACCATAGTCAAATGTTTGCCGGGGGCCAGAATGGGAAACATCAAATCCCATCTGTCTATGACACCCAGTTATGCTGATCAGAGGTCACTAAAATTAGTGTTTCTTTAGTGTGTAAGTTTGACAAAACAATGTCAGACTCCATAATGTTCTCTGGTCCCCTCCCTGATCTAATCAGTGATGACATGTCGTCATTCAACCGCTGGTTGTCCAGGCGGTTTCCTGAAAACAACGTAGGCTATATTCATAATTGGCAATCTTTTTGGGGAAAGCCTGGTCTGATTCGGAGGGACGGCATCAAATCCCACTTTGGATGGTTCAGCTCTTCTTTCTAGGAATCTGGTCAAATTTATTAGTCCTCTAAAATGCAGACAGCCCAGGGTGAAGACCAGGAAAAAGAGTCATAGTTTAACACATCTCTCTGCAGCTTCTCTACTGTTACCTACTCATTACTCCATCCCGACAGTGTCTTGTCTATGAAAAAAATCTAATAAATTAGCAAAGATTCCCGAAAGAGTAAATTTTGATAATCTAATTAAAATTAAAATAACTCCAATTGGGGAAAAAGTTAAAATGATTAAATGTGGTGTATTTAACATAAGATTTCTTTCCTCAAAAAGTCTGCTAGTTAATGACTTGATATGTGATAATCAAATTGATTTATGTTGCCTTACAGAAACTTGGCTGCACCAAGAGGATTACACTATGTAGGCATAAATGAGACAACTCCCTATAGTTATTTAAATTTTCACATTCCTAGAAATTCTGAGCCAGTAGGGGGAGTAGCAACACCTTTCAGTCTGACTTACTGATTACTCCAAAGTTACAACTCTTTTGAAAACTTCCATCATCCAAATTCCAAAGCAAGAAAACCTCTTCTTTTTGTAACTTAGGTCCTTACTCTGAAATTGTTTGATGAGTTTTCAGAGTTTGTATCTGATTTGGTGTTGAATACTGACAGGGTCATCATAGTGGGGGTATTTAACATCCATTCTGACTTTGGACCTTGTGCTGACATATGGCAATGAATGTGAAGAAATAACAGTATTTCCTCACAACCCTGTCTTCTCTGACCATTTTTAATTACCTTCAGAATTACTTTAACAGAGTTCTTCTCCCCCTAAAGAAGGTTTCACTTTAGCAGATCATTATCAGACAATGCAGTTATACATTTTTAAGTAGCTGTTTCACTTTCTCTCTCCTTTGTGTTACTGAGTAGTGCTGTAGAGGGAACAAGTTTAGTTTATTGCCCTTCACAGTTTGATGATTTTGCTGATAGGGTTGTTAGTTCTCTGCGAACTGCCTTAGACAATGTAGCCCCTTTTAAAAAGAAAAACTTAAAAAATAGAAAGCTTGCTCCCTGGTTTAATGCAGAGCTGCACACTTTAGCAAGATGCTAGGAAACTGGAGAGAAGATGGTGTTCTACAGGAACCTTTAATGCCATATAAGATGACCCTTCGGACATAGATTCAAGAACTATGTCCTCCCAGGTCAGGCCCCCAGGGACTTTGAACCAGTCTGACTATATGATCTGGTTGAATTGTCTCTGTAAAGTGCCTTGATATGACATGTGTTGTGAAGAGGGGCTACAGTATATAAATAAACTGAATTAAATTGAATGTTTTCTACTGAAACAAACCACAGCCTCTTGAGAGCGTTTTACTAGTGTTTTATAAAAACAACTGTAATTTATAATAATTGAAATAGTTAGCACTGAAAATGAATAATCACTTTAATGCTCATGAGTACTCTTGAAAAAGGTACATTTTATATATAAACATAGGTTTTAAAAAGTGAGTTTGATAAGACTGGATTTCTTTTCTACCTTAATAATATAATAATCCTTTAAAAACTGCATTTTGTGTTGGCTGGTGCTTTCTTTGACTAATATTTTAATTTGATTGTTTGGTGTTCTAAAACACTTAAAAAAGTGGGCAAAGACTTTTTTATTCTATTGTATGTTTTATTACCTCCACTTTATTATGTCCACTTTCCAATCCCTACTCTTCTAAATAAAAGCTCACAGTTAAGAAGTCTGACATAGTGCTCCTCGAAAGAAATCTTTAATACATAATTTTCACATCAAGTTCCATAAAAGTCTAAGACTGTATCACAAATGACAAAGACAGCACATCTAAAGAGACTCAGGTTTGTGTATGTATATATATATATATATATATATATATATATATATA